TAGTTATTTTTGTTAGTTTATAGTTATAGTTATTAATTATTTTCATTAATTAAATCAAATAGAATCAATAGTTTTAAAGATAATATTTTACACTTTTAATAACTTTAACATTTTTATTAGTGACAATAACCTTACTTGCAAAATTGATATAATGACATATTATATAATTGATTATTTTCATTTAAAAATTTACTTAAAATTAAAATTATATATATTAATTTTATAATATCTCATAAATATAAATTTACAAATTAATTTAATATTATAATTATATTGTTGTTTTTGTTGTACATAACAGACATATCCTTTAATTTTGTGGTTGCGGTTATGGCGATAGAACATATTGTTCAAGTCACACTAAAATTACATTTTTGTCCACTCATTGAAAAAATGCTGTACGGAGTTAAGTGGACAAAAATGTAATTAAATAAAAATACAACATGTGTATATGTTGTAATTAAATAAAAGTACAACATGGCACCTGGCCTTTGGGTCTAGTAGTAACTGCCACAATGAAAGTTGCATCTCCCTTTCCTAGCGTGGGTTCGACCTGCGTCATGACCAATTATTTAAAAAATAAAATAAAATAAAATAAAATAAAAGTACAACATGTGTGACTTTAATAATATCTTATGTAGTCATAGCTGGAGCACTTTTTTTGTCTCCTTCATTAAACACTATTATCAACCTTTGTACCAAAAAAAGTAAAAACACTAATGTCAACCTAACACAATGATCTTACATTTAAGTCACCTTAATGTTGTCCCTTAATTACCCAAGTCTTAATTTATTTGTAAAGGCAAATGGGATGAAGTAAATTTTTTTTTTAACAAGAAGATTGCTAGTAAGATATTAGGTAAACGAAGGTACGGTTTGACAATAATATATTTGGTACGGTTTTAATTTTTTTGATAATAAAAATTCATTATAAAGCCTATAACATAAACATAGAATCGAATGAGACATTTTTAATGAGTATCTTTTAGCAAGCAAGTTTAGAAATTTTGGTTTTTTATTTTTTTTATGCAAATAAAAAATTCATAGATTAAAAAAACCACAATACATTAAAAACCCAAACAAAGTTTGGTCAAGTTAAAAGTGGGTCTCTTCTAACTTCAATTCAAAAAAAAGTTAGAAGTGGGTCTCCATTCAGGAGATTGTCAAGGAAATTGGAAATAGAATTTCCTCCATCATTATCAAGGCCAGCTGGTTCTTCAACAACTTCATGGGGCAGCCTGGCGTTGGGCTTAAGAAGAGTTCCTTGTGGTTAAAGGTGTTTAAATCCGATATAATTTGATTAATTTGATTTAAATTGATTTAATTTAATAAAAAA